CACACACACACACACACACACTGAAAGCTTCCTCTAAACTGTGCCTGTATCGCCTTTTTGTTTACTACTTGCACACACTCACAAATACCTTGAATACTGTTAGGGTGGGGTGGGGGTTAAGCTAGCTGTGGGACTGGAGCTTAATTGGCGCATTCCCAGGGATACTGTAAGTGGCACAACCACGGGGTTCAAGCACAGCTCACCTTTGACCTTTTTCATTCCCGCCCCGGAGACAGAGATGCACAAAGAAACCGAGAGAGTAGTAGCTGAATCGTCTGCACGTCTCGCAGGAAAATGATGGGAAGCTGGAGAGTTCAGGCACATATCTGCACACACACTTTAAAAAAGGGGAAAACTAGCAGACCCTATTTATAGGATTTGGACAGGTTCTTCTTAAAGAAGCATGCTGGTGTTCCTCCTGACCGGATCTTACTTGTGTGTCTTACTCTGCTGTAGGGTGTGATCGCGAGGTGAAGCAGATTAAACTGTTAGCCAGAGGGGACAGAAAAGCAGCGGTTGGGATTTAGTTACTCTTTAACTCCAAATCCTATTGGTTATATTTTCATCTTCAGATATTTCATTTTTGGCAGCCTGTTGTCTTGTTCAGTACAGCGCAGCGTGAAAATCCATTTTTAAACCTTCTTTGTAATCGATTACACCGAGGCATCAAGTGCAAAGGGAGTGCTTTGCGTCGCCTCAAAACAAATAATATAGCTTTTACAAAACTGATTGCAGACTTGATGTTCACTGTAAGGGATTATACAACTCAAACAAATTGGATTATTGATTTTCTAATCTTACAAAGTAATGGAAGGTCATGGTATGGCACAAAGAAACAAACAAAAACTCCTGGAATGTCATCTGCTTGTCACTTGCCATTGCCCGCCTTGCCCTCGTGTGCTCTGTTTTCATGCCTTATTTGCCCTGCTTTGTTTTTCAGTTATTGTCAAACTATAAATGTGAAAAAAAAAATACAAGTTAATAATATATTCACATTTATAGCTCAAATATTATTGTTTTTCATGTTTGGGATTATTAAATTCCTTGTTCAGAACAAAGGTATCCTGTAAATATCCATATAAATATAAAGATTTTCCTTTCTTTCATTTATTATTCTTTTCATGCTCATAAATGGCAAACAAGGAAAAAGAAAAAAAAAAGATAGAAAGTTAAAGGCATGGATGGACACAGTTGCCGATATTAGCTTGTTGCAGAAACATCTATTCCCAGCACGTATGCCAGCTCACAGTCGACACAAAGAAGGAAATTGAAATAAATACGATTCCTTTAATCAAATTGACCTTACTGTGAATAAAATGTAGATTATCTGTATCAGCAGTGTAAAGAGTGCAAGGATGAGTGGAAATGCATGCAAGCCATAAACCCAACAAATGGAGAAGAGAGATGGATTGTGCAAACCCGGCCCTCTGATAAAGCAGTCACTGGAGCGGTGCCAGGTGTGGCTCCCCTATGGACCCACCTCTACTACTTTGCCCTCCTCCCACACAGAAACACGAACAAACAGAGTGGGGAGGGGTCATCACAGTAACAAGACGGGACAGGGTAGAATTGCTGAACATGGCTTCAGGTCATGTACAAATGGTTTCTTTATTATGTCAGAGTGGACTGTATATATTTACATTTCTGCATGTGTTAAATGCAGCAGTAAAGATGAGCATCAACATATTTTTTTAATATTCTACTGTTTTTTGATTTGTTTTTGTTTTTAAATGTTGCTCTTCATTTGGACCTAAATAAATCAGGCAGTTCAATCCTGCTATTTTTCTAAAATTGCAAAAGATGAAGGTTTTTTTCTTTCTTTAAGGACAATACTGCACAATAAAGGAAATTAGATAAAAACAGAGATTTTACTGCTTTATGTCTTGAAATGACTGGGTAATAGTGACGCGAGAAGAAAAAAAACCCAAATGAATCAAGAACAAGAAATATCGAGTTGTTTGATGAGACCGAGGGCATTCCTATACATATGGAAACAAATGCATTAAAGCAAAGCAGTTTGTGCTACAGATATATCACAGCAGAACTGCAGGCATCCCTGTGTGATGTTAAAATGAACATCATACACCTTACATTTATCAGATTTTCACAGTTTAAGGAATAAATTCTCACGGCGTAACACTTTGTGAAGCACTTTCACCTGAGATTCAGCGTGTTTGCTTAGTTGCTGAAAAGGTGTCATTTTGGAGATGGGAAGTTTTGAATTGGCACACACTTCATGTTCACAGGATGTTCTGATATTGTTCTGTCTCTCTGTGGAGCTGACTCGTCCCTCCTTTTCCCTCCTATATATATATATATATGGTTTTAAATGGAGGTGTAATACCATGGCAACAGCTCAGCTGTAGCCAGTGTCCTCAGCTCAGAAGGTGCTATGTTGGTAAAAATGTATTTCTGCTGCTGACATCATCTAAATCAATCATCATTTAATCATAAGAGGACAATCACAGGATTATTATTGATATGAGAAACCACTGATCAGAGGTTGTTGTTGTTTTTAATTGGATTATATGGAGCTTTTATGGTTTATGTCATACATGTTTAAAATTACAAAACTTGATATTTTGATTTCAGCTTCCACCTCTTCATCAGCCTGAGATGAGATCAGAACCACACACCCAGTAATATCTGCCCATTCTGTGCACAGAACAACAAAACAACAACAACAAAAAGTAAAACTAGTCAAGCCTCCAACAGCAAATAATTCATTATAAAGTAATAGTAACATGCAGCTAATTTGTTCTGTATAAATATAAGAGTGTTTACACACGTCGCCATTTTTGCAACCAGAATTTTCTGTAAACATAAATTATTGTGCTGACACATTTGCATTTATAGTAGAGAAATGCATTATATTTCTATACAAGTGTAGAAATATATCTTTAGCTGCTCAGATTTGCTTTAAATGTGATTTTGTGGTTCTCTTAATTGCCCACAATGCTCGTGTGTATTTGATCAGTTACATTCTCTTTTGAAATGTGAATTTAGAGCAGAGTAAAACACCTGCAGAGGCAGAGAGTCTGTCAGGATTTTTGGCTTAATGATATGAAGCTCATAAAACTACAAGGAGACACCAGTGAACTTTGTCATCCAGAAAAACACATTTAAGAGAAATCAGTTTTGGAAATTGGACATTCTTTGTGAAGACGGCTTCAGGGCGTGAATCTCTCAAACTGATCCAGATATATGCACAAAGACGTCCACGCTGCTTTTGGAGGTTTAAGGCAATAATGTGCCTGATACCTGATTGAGCTTATCTGTCAGTCACAGGTGTGGTTCATTTTTACACAGCATGCTTGTGGACTGAATCGCTGGAATTTAGTCGGTCACTGTAATTAAAAGTGAATCACTTTATTGCTGTTGTTGATCTGGGTGGTGGTCCCTGAGCTGTCAGTCTCTCTCCGCTTATCAGTCTGGATTTCTCCCTCGATTCATATACACCTCACTAATGATCTGCACCTGGATATTCAAACTGAATAATTGTAGTAGTGCCTCGCAAATCAAGTAAAACACACAATAAACCTTCACCACGTTGTTTTGCTCTTTGTTTCTACTGTTACACTAACAGATTCTGCTCCCGGGTAGCACATCAGTCAACTTATGAGATCCTGAGCATTATGGGAGTTTGAGTTAGTCATTAATTGCATACTTTCTGTCATGTAGACTGCGAGCCAGAGGAGGTGTCTGACTGGTCCTTTGATGAAAACTGTCTCTTCTGCTGCTTAAGACGTGAGAAAGTCAAGGTAGGTGCAGTTCAGTCTCCCTTTTAGATAAGACCCTCTCATTCTAATTACATGGCTGTGATTTCACAACTCTTCAGAAGCTGCTGGGTGGTATCACTTTTACCTCACAACACGAAGGTGCCTGATGTAAATGGAGCAGGGTTTTTTTTTATATAATATGGAGTTACATTAGGTTTTGTTTTCACCTGAATAAACTAATGTTAGCTTTTTAGCAGCACACTCAATTGAACAATTTGTTTCAAAGAATAAGCAGACTACAGAATATGGGGGGTGATGGGTGGGGGCTACATTTTATAATGTTTAACTGTGTAATTGTGCTGTGGCATAGCTGGGTTTATTTATTTCATACTTTGAGTGCAAAGGAAAACATTTTTTTAAGTTTTTAGTTGTTTTCATAAATGTGGTTAATGGGAATTAACCACATTAATTATTAGTTACGAGAGCAAGATACAAATAGATAACTTAATACCCACCCTTTCTCTTCCACATATCCAATTAAGAGTCAAAGGGATGCTGGAGACTATCCCAGCAGTCATAGTGTGAGAGGCAGGATACATCCTGGACAGGTGTTATAGAGCTAGACGGCTACATTTACACATGGGGGTTAGGTCACCAAGTAACCTAACCCCATGCATTTCTTCGGACTGTGGGAGGAAGCCAGAGTACCTGTAGAGAACCCCAACTCACTGGGTTTCAACCCAGGGTCTTCTTGCTGTGAGGCAAACCACACCACCATCCCTGCACCCAACTTAATAATTGCAAAGGAAAAAAACGTTTACATTTTTAAACGGCCCTCAATATAAGATGTGTATTAGAACACACTTTTATTATCTAAGGCTTACAAATAAGATGTAAAGGCCTTGAATAATGTATAACAACATGTTCCACTGAAAGCGTGCTGTGAGTGTGGAGAAGGGGAATGTTTCACTGCAGTGTTGTACAAATTTAAAAAAAATAAAACATGATGTGCGTTTCAATTAGCTATTTCCTCGCTAACATTGTCGCTAACAGAGGTGAATACTGCTCTCTGCCTGATACAGCACTTACTGTATGTTACTTTCATGAAGCAGCTCATTTTCTTTGTCCACGTGTTCTGTATTTTAGTTCACTGCCAGTTTTAAGTTTTCTATTGAAAAATACCACATCTTTGTCTCTCTCCTCCTCCTGGTGCACTACTTGTTATTTGTGTTGTTTAACCATCCGTGGTCTTGACCCCAATTTAGCCTATAAAAGGACTGTGACATAATGATTTGGAGGTGAGTGAGTGTGTGTGTGTGGAAGGAGGAGGAGGATGCTGACATGATTGTAAATTAGTTGGTCTCCCACAGCAGCCTAGATGCTGGTACACCCTCACAGTTTCTTAGCCCAACAAAAAGCATCCTGAACAGAATAATAATGAGTTTATTGGACAAGCTTCTATTTAATATATACAAATGCAAGCATCGTGGTTCTGCTCATTCTGCTGTGCAGAAGGCCTTCGTGTTTTACGGCCATTCATTGTTACCGCCCTCCGCTGCACTTAAAAATGAGGAACAAAAAGAGCAAGGATGCTACGGGGCCCTCAACAGTCTCTGGATGATTCCAAATGGGCTCCCTTGTTGCATGTGGCCTCCGCTCTCTTATCACCACAGTCGCCATTATAAACACCGTAAGGGGTGATGTGGATGAAAAGAAAAATTCTTTTTTAAATATCAGAAGAAAGTAGAAACGACTTGTTAGTCTGGAGGCTGTAATAAGAGATGAGTCACATATGTTGTGTTAATTAACATATCAATATTATCATATGCTTTTGAATGCCTTTCTATGAGGGCAGTTGATTGGGGGAGGGACACTGAAGCCTAAAATATGCACAATAATTTATAAGCTATAAGATGATTATCTTATAGCTTTAATGCCTGTCACGCCATCAAACTGTTTAACTCCTCTCTGGAGGGGAGAGGGAGGGGAAACAGGAGGACAAAGGAGGGGGGAACAACTAAGCTGTAGTGCCTCTTCACCTCACTGTGCAATACCTTTTGTGCAATACTTTTGTTAATAGTCAACGGTGCAATAGACCTCAATACTTGAAATGTGCAATTCACTTGTATTTTTATTTTTATTCCTATTTATTCTATTTATCCCCTTCGTATATTTTATTTATATTTGTCTCTCTATTTATATATGTATGTGTGTGTGTGTATATATAGATATATATATATATTTGGAAATCGAATTTCCCAGAGGAACCCACCCGAGGGATTAATAAAGTTCTATCTTATCTTATCTTATCTTATCTTATCTTACAGTGTTCATTAGCAGACTTTTTGTCTTTTCATTTGTTTTTGTTCGTTTTATTTTTTTATTTTTTGTTCCTATTTAGCTCAGGGTAAGTACTTTTTGGGATGTTGACCTAATGTATATGTGGACACATGTATGAAAGAAAGGTATGTGAGAATAAACAAGGAAGGGAAGGAAGTTAGGAGGGGGCGTCCTTCTGTCAGACATACATTGTTGCTTGTTTTTCAACTTGACCCTGGTCCGACCCCCAGGGTCGACCATCTGTCTGCTAAAAACATCCCCATTTTTCCACCACTCACTACCATCTCCGAGCCCCCATTGGCCTCTGCCTTTCTCTGCGCATGAAGCCATGTAGCAGTAGCTAATAGTAGCTAACAGTAGCTGCGTTGCCAGAGCTCACTTGTGCATGTAATAGCATAGTAACAGATAAGATATGAATAAAAAAACTGAAGCAGTTATCGGAGTAAAATCAATTACACAAAACCTTGCAGGGTTTCCAGAAGGTTTATTTTTTCCACCATATTTTCTAAATACTCAATAACTGTTAGCCGCTCACATAATGCAAACCATGGCACCTCAATTACATTCGTCTTCTATGTTCAAATACAGGTTTTTATTAATGTGTTAGGGTTTCAAGTGCTCTCCCTGTCTCGCCATTATTACCCTCTGCTTGTTTGCAAGATGCCAGAGGAGCTTCAGTGGGCGGGAACCATCGATTCATTGATCTGAAGCCACGCAAACCACCAGCAGAAAGAGAGCTGAGGGGTTAAAATAAAGAGAACAGAGACTGGAGAAAGCTTTTCTCATCTAAGTTCCTTTGTTTCCTACCACTCATGCACACAGACGCATACATGCACTCAAATTTCCTCTCTATTGTACTGTAAGGATCTAAAGGCCTCGATATCCTGGAAAAGTTAGTGGTTTGGATTAAAGAGAGCCTCCCTTCAGTCAGACTGGGGAAAACAGTGTTTGTAGATCACATGCAAGATTAGAAATTAGTTTGCTCTCAGTTACAACTAAATGGGGTCAAGCACATGTGATCTGTTTGTGAGAATACACCAATTAACTGATAAATTCTGAAGCAACAGTCACCTCAAGGCGCTTTATATTGTAAGGTAGACCCTACAATAATACATAAAGACAAAAACCCAACAATCATACGACCCCCTATGAGCAAGCACTTTGGCAACAGTGGGAAGGAAAAACTCCCTTTTAATAGGAAGAAACCTCCAGCAGAACCAGGCTCAGAGAGGGGCGGGGCCATCTGCTGGGACCGGTTGGGGTGAGAGAAGGAAGACAGGATAAAGACATGCTGTGGAAGAGAGACAGAGACTAATAACAAGTATGATTCAAGGGAGAGAGGTCTATTAACATACAGTGAGTGAGAAAGGTGACTGAAGAAGAAATACTCAGTGCGATGTAGATGCTACATGATGGTGATTTAACAGCCACACAGTAACATAGCCACTCTTAAATTAGAGCAAAATTATTTGCAAACATGTTGTAATCTGAGAGTGACGATAGTCACTCCCAAGTCAACCACGGTTCTTTGTTGTTTCGATTGCCTTGGTCACCCAGCATTTAAAGCTACCACACGCTCAACCACTTGCAGTCATTTGTCAAATAAGAAAAATTTGATGCAATCACCCGGTAACCACTGAATTTTTAAATCCTAATTTTACTCCACAGCGGCTGAGCCATTAGTAGTAGTAGTGAGTGAGTGAGTGAGTAGGGAAGTGAAGACATGTCCTGCCACCACTTCTCCCTGTAGTGTTATGTTATTGTCATCTTAATAAAAACGTGTGTGTGTGTGTGTGTGTGTGTGTGTGTGTGTGTGTGTGTGTGTGTGTATGGCTTGCCCTGCAATATTTTCAGTAGTCAATAAGACTAGGAAAATGCAATATAAATGCATACTATGCTTGCCAAGATAAATAAAAAAGGCCAACGTATGGAGAAGTCTGCTTGTCCCTGCTGTGCAACCCATCTTCTGTTGACACAGAACTGTCGGAGAATTGTCGACATTGAGAGCTGGACATGTTTAAACAATCATAATGAAAAAATGCTAGTGGCATAATGTGGTGGTAGTGTGAGGGTATTAGTTTCTTTCACACCAAACCTTTACTCACTCATTGGTCTCTGCGTGTTTGTCTGTGTAGGAGCACAGCGTGGAGAACGGTGGAGGCAGCCACGTGCTGTCGGAGTGTGAAGACTTCAAACAGGAGCAGTCTCGGATCAGCCGACTGGAGAGACAGGCTCAAGACTTCCTCAATGCTGTGTTCCACAGAAAAGGTACGACATACATACCCTTCATTAGTCATTTCTTCATCAGTCATTATTCATTTATTAAATTCAGTCTAGACATGGATATCTAGAGTAATTTAACATGGGTCTATTTTAGAATCAATATGATACTTTTCCTATATATTTTCATTTAAATTTTCTTTTTTCTGTCATCAATATATGTTACATTGCTGGTTGTTTGTATTAAACATGTTTCAAATAATGATGTTTTAGCTTATATGAAAGTAGTCCATAAATGCATGCTTTAAAACTCTATTTTAGATCATTTTATTCTACTTTTGAGTCGTCATGATGTAATTGATGCCCTTAGTATTGTCCTCTCAAATTCATAAGTTTTGCTGTGAGAACATAAGCTTTAACTGCATGGTTTTTAAACATATTTCTAAGGGGTAGCCAATCAGAGTAAAGTTGGCTTAAATGACAAACTGAGAGTCTGCATCAAGGCCCAGTGTAGTAGAAAAATAAAGAATGTTTGCGTGATGGTTCAAGACAATGTTAGTCTTTACCCTGTAACACAAAAAGTTGGTCAGTTACCCACTGGTTGCAATACCAAGTTGTATGTAACTCTTTTCCTCAAATGGAAAATAATTTATTCATAAATAGCTAAACTATGTCTTTTGCATTCTGTAGCTCAGCTTTGGGAACTAAAATAAATAGCTCTTGTAGAAATTATCCATCATGCTCAGCATTAGGACTTGAATTGGAGAGGACACAAGTCTATGTTTGGGAGCAATGTGTAATGCCTGAGTGTCATTGATGACATGACAGTACAGCTGGAATAAAAAGGGGCCAGGGATCGATCCCAGAGGGATCCCAGATGTAACTTTGTCAGAGTTTCACATTTGGGACAAAGACATTTCTGCCTTGCAGGTAGACCCTAAACCGGTTGAGAAATGGGCCAGAGAGGCTGACCCACTTTTTCGACCTGTGCTAACAGTGCCATGGTTATTGTGAGAGGCCATGCAGGAAGCTCTGTACAGTGTTACTTTACACATTGGTGTTACAGTGAGAAACTTGTACTGAATTTAGGACGTTGGATACTTTCAAAATATGATAGGTGAACTCATCAGTGCTGATTGCCACATACATACACCCCTAAGAAAAAGTATCACTATAACAGTCACAACAAAAATGCATGAATTTAGCAATGGACTTTTCACATGGACTTTTGGGGATTCATCTGAATTTGATGTGGTCTTACAATACAGTGGTCCCTCGCTATAACGCGGTTCACCTTTCGCGGCTTCGCTGTTTCTATTAGTTTTTTTGTGCAATTTTGCATGCTTTTTTTTGTTTGTTTGGGTTTTTTACATCACATTGTGTTCTGCGTCCTGATTGGCTGTAGACCACTGTCAATCAGTCTCTTTCGTGCCGTGTCTCCTGTACAGTACAGAATGCGTTCAGCTTGTCTAATCGATCACTAGCAGTGTGACTCTGAAGTACTGTACTGCATGTTTGTAAGTTTTCTCCCAACAAACACAACAATGGCCACGAAATGTTTTGCACCGTCAAAGGCACCTGCGGTAGCACCCAAAAGGCAGAGGAAGATGCTAACCATCGCACACAAAAAGTTGTTCTTCTGGACATGCTAAAGGAAGGTAGAAGTTAACATATTTTTCGGATTATAAGGCGCATTAAGCAAAACAAAACAGTCAGATAAACCAAACTTTACTCAGCTCATTCTTCTTGCTTCCTCTGCTTCCGTACCATTGATTCATTAATGTTAAATTCTCTGGCAGCTGCTCTATTCCCATGTTCTTGACCCGAAAACAGGGTTTGAGCTTTGGTTTCATTCTACAAGAGAAAAGTGTGAAAATGTTCATGCCTGTCTGAGAAAAGTGTATACAGTGTATAGTGAGGGGTTTGACAGCCTTAAAATATCTATACAGTGGTCCCTTGTTTATCATGGTAGCTACGTTCTAAAAATAACCTGCAATAGGTGGAATCTGCAAAGTAGCCAATTTACAATTACAGTGGAACCCTGACTTACGAATCCCCCGTTTCATGAAAAATTCAAGTTACGAAGGCACTGAACGGCAATATTTTTGCCCGTGTTACAGCAAAATGCCCGAGTAACGAAATAAGCTGGCTCTGATTGGCTGAGCCTACAATGCCCACAATGCCTTCCAAATCATGTGACAACCCCTTGGCTTCCGTACTTGCGCTTTGCTGTTCCACTTGAACGACGTATTGTTGTTCTAGTTAGCAGCCTATAGCCTATCGTTCAGCATCGCCTCAGTCAAAACGCGCGATGGGTGCTTCGACTTACGAAAATTTTCGACTTACAAAAGACCCTCGGGAACGAATTAATTTCGTAAGTCGGGGTTCCACTGTATTATAGATCCTGAGACTGATTATTCTTTAGGCCATTTAGGATTCATCTCTGTCGTCCATGACACTGATTATTAAGCATGGGAGGAGTTCATATAGTCTTTATCACTTTTTAAAAAATATTTTATTGCACATCTGTTGTATAGTAGCCATATAACAAATGTGAGTAAATTAGTTTTGAATGTAAGTCTGTGTCAAATAAGCTTTTTGAATCACCCAATAATAACAGTAGTTTGCATGATATCAACCATCATAGCCGGTAACACTTGGGATAAAAGTGCAAGATTAAATCCAATTTTTCTTGTGACGTTTAAAATAATTCGTTTCACTCAAAGGGTAATGAAAAGGAAAGAACCCTACGTGTCAAAAAGGTTCAAAAGTAACACTGATGTTTGTTTGGGAGAACTGCTCAGACTGCTGACTTTGCTAAAATGTAAGAATCCACTTAATGACCTTTACACTAAGGCAGATGCAGTGGGATGAAAAACTATCCAAAATGTCGAGGTGCTCGATAGTTGAGGAGTTCAAGCGCTTCGGTTAATCTCAGAAAAGTCACAGCGCAAACTTTCACGTACAAAGAACACAGCTTTACGAGGAATGAATATGTATTTTTTCTAAAAACAGATCTCAAGTATTTAGCATTTAAAAGGTTAAATATTCTTTGTTCACACTTCAAGGGAGACAGCGCAGATCATATTTTTCACAGATAATAAAATTAATGCAGCCTTTTTGTTGTCAAATCTTTGTCAACACGATGCCAAATATTTGAGGTGTGACACTTGATACTGCAGTGTGAACGCAGAGTTGCTGCTGCTTAAATAGAATATCTGTTAAAATGTTTTGTGCTTTTTGTTACCTTTGAGAGCTTCTATTCTCCATTATCTGACACATGTTAAGCCGGCCTCCTCTGTCATTTCCTGTAAAAGGCACTGTTGCAAGAATCCCTGTTTCTTACATTTTCAATTTGACTCTTTCCTCACATCTGATTTAAGTCATTTATTATGCATTAGGGCATATCTGGCATTATGTATGCGCTATTATTCCCCTGTTCCCATTGAGCTAAATGTTCGCCCCAGCACCAGTCTTACAGGTTTAATGTCAAACCAGAAGTGGACATGATTTCATCAATACTTGGACTACCTCCATCAAATTAACTGATCCATATCTGCGGAGAGCTTTGGTCACGCAGTTAGTCTCTCAGTCCAATCAGAGACTTTCTTATTTCTTCACTCTTTCTCTCTCTCTCTACAAAACAGGAATTACTGCTGTAGTGCTGTTGTCTTACACTTTCTTTAAACTCTGTTCACTGCCCGGTGCTATTGTGTCTTCAGTTGTGAATGGAGTCACGCTGAATGATCTGCTAAAAATTAACTGAAGCATATCGGGGTCGAGCCATTGGATAAACAATTTGGACCCACATCACATGGCCAAAAATTCCTTCAGCACTTCCTAGTTTGACTCCCAGCTGGCCGGCCCTTTGCTCCACGTTTTCCCTCCTCTGCAGCTGTCAGAAATACTAATATCTATATTCAATTGTAACTTAATTTTTTTTTAGTTGACCAAAAATTCTTAAAACAAGTTGAACCAAGCATTGAATCGAGCCGTGATTTTACATTTAAGTTGGCTGTTCACCTGTCAGGGACTCCAGATGACCGTTACTATATAGCCGGTATATTTCTATGATGGACTTAAGTGCTCGTTTTAATTAATGTGCATTTCCCCTATAACATAAAAAAACATGAAGAAACTGTAGACAACAAGCTTCAAGCTTGCCTCAAGCTGCTTAGTATTGTAAGGTAAAGACCCTAAAATGATCAGCTTTCAGTCAGTACAATCACCGTCTACTGAATATCTGCATATTTGCTGAATTGCCATAAATCCCCTTTTTATTAAGAAGACATCATGTTATGTCCTGAGGCAGGTGGATGCTTTGTGACGGAGGTGAACTGAGTCTGATGGAGACTGTAGCTGTTGTATTTTTAATTTTTTTTCCAGGAGGAAGGAAACAGATGTTTGTCAAGTCAGTGCCCAGCCTCAATCAATCTGGCTTCACTCACACAGGGAGAGATGCCTGTGGAGCTGCTATATTTAGACAGAAAAACAGTCCCACAGGCATAGGCATGATGTGGCACACACACACACACACACACACACACACACACACACACACACACACACACAGTCATTCATACAGTAACAGATCCACAAGCACGGTTAGGCACAGAATCACTGATCTGACAGCGCCTGTGGTCATTTTGTATCATGAGAGAAAATGATGTTTAGCAACAACATGCAGCGCTCTGAGAGTGCAAACCTCCACCCGAGTAGCTTGCTCTCAGGGCAGTATGTACCTTTAAGGGATTAGTGTTGTGTTGGTAGATAGTTTCTTCTTTTTAAATGTACTTTAAGGAGTTTGTAGTGCAGGAAGGTTTTCTTTGAAGTTTTTTTATTTGCTCTGTTGAAATCAATGTAATACACTTAACCTAATTTTGTCTGTAATTATTGTTGTTATTTATGTGGATTTACTGCATGTGTTGCATTCATTTCATTGTTTGGTGAAATTTGTTTAAGTCTTTAGTCACAAAAATGTATTTTAAAAAAGTAATATAGTGTATACCATATAGTGTATACCTCTGTATACCATTATTATCACTTTGACCTTCAGATCAATCTGTTGATGTTGAAGGAGAGGTCAGAGGTCAGATGTGACATGATGTTTTAAGTCCTTATGCAGTACTTAATCTACGTTGACCATATACACCGCACACTAACTTCTAAAGCTTTTTGTCAACCAATCAAGAAGTTGACCTTGAAGCTCTCGGTGGATGTAAATGTTCACGGATCGTTACCATGAACCCACTCTCATGCCACTCCAACAATGTTTAGCATTTGCACTCCAAACTAGAACTTACACAGCAGAGCTGTATGTAAGAATGAAAATATGTTGAGTTAATTGACCTGGGCATTAGTCACGTTTAGGTAAACAGCTGTGCAGTGGCTTCACTTATAAAGCCTTGCAGCTTGTATCAATATAAAAACCTAAGAATTAAAATGTAAGATCAAAGTGTTTACCAGAATGTTTGTTCTGTCAAAAACTGTTTTTAAAAAGCTAATATGGGTGTATCATCCTTTGCACTGAAGTAGTGGAGCCATGTTTGTAGTCTTTAGTGTATCAACAGCTGATAACCTCAGCTCACTGATATCTTTTACCAGAGCCCAACCAAGATGTCAGGGTGCAGCAATTGCTGCTCTTTTATTTGGATCACACAGTGCAGGGAGTTAAAAATCATCTTGTACAAATTAGGGTTAGATTTTGAAAAAGCAAATATCTGATGAATGGCTGGCAATGGCTAGCAGCTGTTGTATACTGGTGCCTTTCTCAATAGGCAGGATTAGTAGTTGTGTATCTTGTATGTACGGTGCATGTGATTTCTGGATTATTTCAGCACAGCTTCAGGATTACATTTTTTGGGCTAATGTATTGTTTGAAGGATTTGGGCTCTGACTCAGTGGCATGCGTGAATTTATCTGCATAATAATATATACTTTTTGCTTATAAGGAGTAAGTAGAGCTGACTTATCTGGGACAATGCCAGATTAATGGATTTAATAACAAACGAGTGTTGTCATTGTCACTGCTTTGTTGAGTGTGTATTAACCAGCGAGATCAGTGACCAGTGTTTGATGTGGATTTGTTTGGTCACAGCAGGAGGTCACAGAAAGTTCGATTATGAAATCGTTGGGTTTTTTCCCCCTAATTGCTCTTCTGATATTTGCTGGACTTTGAAACTGTCATTTTTCTTAATCAGTTTAATTTCATATAAAGTGTCAATTTACAGTGAAACTGCCCTCAAGATGCTTTATATTGAAACATAAAGACCCTGCAATATTAGAAAGAAACCGCTAGGCAATCAAATTAACCCCCTATGAGCAAGCATTGGGCGACAGTAGGGAAGAAGTCCCTTTTAACAGAAGTCAGGACTTCTGACATGACCAGGCAGTAGCCGCCTTCCCTGGCTTGGTGTGAGGAAAAGCAAGATAGAAGAGGGCAAAGAGAAACAAGTGCAAAAACAAAACCTATGATAGAAACAAGACAAAATTTAATAATAAGCAGTACTGACATAAAAGTGGACAAGGAATGCCCAGTGCACCATGGGAAGTCCCCAGCACAACTAAGGGCCAATGAGCATTATCAAAAAGGAAAGTTTGAAGCCAATCCCAAAAGTATCCAGGCTGCCAGGAGAGGAGGGAGAAGTGCTGTGTTGGGATAATGTGGTACTATTTGTTCTTTAAGATGTGACGGGACTGATCTCTCAGGACATTCAGTTCTAAATTTAACATGGAGCCAATGATGAGAAACTAATATGGTAGAAATATGACTTCTGTTTCTAGTTTCTTTCACTACCTGGATTTTTTTATTTATTTATTTTTTACTCGTGTCTCAAGTATTTTTGTATTTTTAAAAAATGTGGAAGCCAAAATGCCCTTATTTATGAAACAAAAAGAAACTCAAGCAGATGATTTAGTTTGATTTAGTGTTGCTTAATCTTACAGAAACCAGTAACAGGAGGTGAAACCCAAGCATGTAATAATTTCGACTACCCTTAAGTACAATTTGACTAATTTTTGTCAAACACAGTTGTAAAGTTGTAGATGATAGGAGCTGTTGTCTGTGGGATAAATGTTGCTTCAGATTTTCAGAATATTAAATTATTCCTCCTATTTGCCAAACCTGGAACATTTGCAGAATACTCTGTAGTAAGTAAAGTAAAAACTTGTCATGGTGATTGTGCCGTTCCATCTAAACTACGAAATTGGGATGGGGTCAATTTTTTTTTTCATTTTAATAAATGAACTAATAATTTAAACACTGCATTTTGTATTTTCACACATTATGTTTGAAGATTATTATTATGTATAAAGATTGTAGGAGCTCCAACCAATATCTTCAGATTGCTAATTTTATCTCAAATCAGAAAACGCAAAAATATTCAGTTTTGATCTAAAATGGAGAAAAAGAGCAAATGTTAAACGATGCTGAAAATCCAAATCATTCAAAATATGGGTTTGATGAAAAACCACACAAAAAATAAAAACTGCTGATTTTATGTTGTTGTCAAAGTGACAGATCAAATACTTGTTGGTATTGTGAATAGAGAGGCTGTGGTGTCTGCACCATGTGGGCTGTTTGCCTGCGCAAATATATTCAAGTGAACACACTGCTGCAAGATCAAATCCTGGACAAACTGCTCTGAAATACAGTGTTTAGAGATGACATAGTGCGGAGCGTAAGACTGAAAACAAGAAGGAATCCTGGGGAAGGGAATTGTTATGGAAGCCCCAGCTGAATAATGGCAAGCAGTAATCTGTTGCACAAACTGATATCATGGTGTTTCCAACATCAATAGGCAGGTTTAAGCCCTTATTCCAAGTGATTATTTGAGCAAAGCATCAGGATTACATTTTCGGATGAAATGGTATAAATAAGCTGCTGAGAGCAGCATCGGCTGAGCAGACTCCTGGAGGACGGGACGCTAACATGTTTGCTCTCCTGTTTTGTTCCTCTCCAGACCTCCCAAGTTTCTCAGACCCTCACATTCCTCTAGTGGCTCGTGAGATCATGCAGCGAATGATCCGCCAGTTCGCTGCTGAATATACCTCAAAAACTACTCAGGACGACCCGCCCCTGCCCAACGGCACCATGAAGGACCAAAGCCTGCCAAAAGCGGTGTCTCTGGCCCCGGCCCCCAGCTCTCCGCCCAGGCCACTGGCTGCGCCAAACTCTCCTCCATCATCTGCCTCCTCCTCTCCATCCCCGACCCCGGGACAATGCTTCAGCCCCACCTCCGCTGCTGCTGCCTCAGCACTCGCCTGCACCCAGAGCAGCAACAGTACGGGAGCCAGTAATGGTGGGGGGGGAGGAGGAGGAGGTACGGCTGCTGCCTCTGCACAGAATCCCGTCCTCAGCAAGCTTCTCATGGCCGACCAAGACGGCCCGTTGGACCTCACCGTTAAGAAGAACCAGGCTGATCCAGAGCCCAGCCAGCAGGGTGAGAGCAACTCTCACACACACACACACACACACACACACACACACACACACACACACACACACACACACACACACACACACACACACACACACACTTCTGACCAACATGTGGGCTTTTGGTTTTCTTTGTGGCTTTTACCAACCAAAAATATGAAAGCCACAAATTTGGCTCAGTGTTTGTTTTAAACAGGCAGGTCTGCTGTGCAAAAATACTTCCTGCTCCATATTTAATACCAGTGTGCACAGACGACAAAACGAATCAGACAAGATTGTTTAAACAAAAATTGTAATTAATGTATAATTCTTTATTAGTGCACTGGTAATTCAAATTTAGGGTTGCTGCCATTATTAAAATAATTAAAATGTAGATATGTAGATAATAAAAATAGAGCGGAAATGTGAAAAAAATAAATGTAAAAACACATTTCAAATTTTAACTAATAAGTATGACACTTTGTGTTTGTTCTAGTCTTTCCCAAAGTATTAACCACACACTGGGTTGATTGCCTGGCTCAGGTCCATGATTAATGTTCTCATTTCTCACACTGACAGCAAACATTTGAAGCAGACTTGCACATCAGATTCACATCAATTCATTTTTAGTTGTCGTCACTTGCTGCGAATAATTGTTCATCTTCAACTTTAAAAGTGTGCACACGGTTTTCCTGACCGTGATCTCTGAAAAGACATGCTTCGAATCAAGCCTGCACGTGCAGCGCTTTACCAAGTCTGGAATTGTAGCTCAGGGCTCAATCTCTGTTTAATCAAACTGACCCAGCAGGGTGTCTGCAGTTTGATCAGCGAGCAGGCTGCTGGGGTGAACCAACAGCTCACTGCCTCAACCCTCACAGTGTGACCGATGATCCACTTTAATACCAGCTTTTTTAGAATCTGCTTACAGTAAGCTTACTTAATTTTTACAACAAAGAGACGTAGGCATTTAGATCCACCTCATGGTCACGAGCTATCTCTCTCCCACACGCACAAACAAGAAACGCCTTTTAAAGTGATTCTGACTCAATGTGGGCTCAGGAATCGTTTCAGTTACACAGCAAATGTAATTTCCGGAGAAGAAAAAGAGACACATTTTATTTCCTTCACTAATCAGTGTTATGTTACATCTGTGTGATGGCTGATTGTCAGCTGAAGCACACGGCAGGCATAAATTCTACAGAGAAAATCATGTTTTCACTTAAAGGTGCATCACTTTTTTTATCCATTAATATCTGTGCTAGCTAATTGTGCCGCTATTAGAGCATTTACCTAGTCTGCTGATTACGCACCAAATGTCATCAGCAAAATATCTTAATATTAAAATAGAAAATTGTCTCTAATACTTATCAAGGTATCATTATTGAAGAGCCAATACTACTACTAGTAATAAAGTAAAAAATGTCTTAGAGCAATCTTAACTTAAGCGCAGTCTTTTGGCTCGCTTTGATTACTTTTAAATACACTGACAGCATCATTTGAAACTGTGTCCATGTTTATTGTGAGCATGCACACAGGATTGCCATAATACTAGAATTTCAAACTCAGCGTAGACACCTAGGAAAACGTTGGTCGCTCCCTTCCATTGTTGATGCTTATTTCCTGTGCTTGTGGTGACTTGGCAACGAATGTCATTGCTAATCAAATAGAGTCTGTACATTATGCTGCGCTGTCTCTGTCTACTTGCTGGCAGACTTTTCTCAGTTTCAATCTGACAATCTGGCATAATACTATGTAGAATTGTGTTATCCTGTTAAATCAAGACTGCCCATCATTGTTTCAGACTGGTAGGACAGCTCCAATGTTAACATCATGGTTTTATCATTGGGTGCAACCCACTACCTTAATCGTATCACCTAATGTGGTGATCAGGTGCTAATAGTTAAACTGCTAACAGGACAATGCACACCTCCCAGGTTAACAATTATGATAGCTGTGTTGTTGAAATGGGAGCTTTACTGCCCCCAAGTAACGTCTCATAAAGATCGCTGTCTCAGTCTTTAGGATGCTTCCGCAAGTTGTGCTGCTTGTCAGCTATTAGTGAGGGCAGGGCCTTTTGTGCCTGTCTGTCACCAGCAGTGCTGTGTGGGGTTGGGTGTCAGCTGAAGGAAGTGAAGACAGCACTGTTGGTATCAGTACTGCTGTGAATGGGTATTTAATTCAACAATAATTTTACTTATCAATAAATATCAGAACTTCTTTTCTTTTTAACAACCCTAAGTGTAATTTAACATTTGCTTAAAGGTTTGTCAGAAATTCATTATTGTACTGAATTTACTGGAAGCTTATGTTTTTGACCAGAGTGTTAATGTAACAATTTAAATAAATGCAATGGCTATTAAATGCATTTAAGGGTGAAACATAGAAGAGAAATCTGAAGGGTTTGTAACCTTAGTCGTTTTAATGTCTTCCTATTTGTCAGCCCCAGCCCTACTCTGTCCATCTGACATTGAAACAAAGTACAGATTCTCAGCAGGATTTTTTGTTTTGATTCCCGACTAATTTAGACAACCTTCTGATAGTCACTCAAACAAAAAAATCTGCCCGGCATTTGACGCTCGCTGGGTGTTAATATCATAACATACGAGTAACAGTTCGTAATCTGATTAGAACTGCTGCATAAATATTCATGTTGATGGGGTAACTTTTTTTTGTCTTATGACAATTTAATACAGCAACACGGGGAGCTCGTAATACCACCATCAATGCATCCTGTAAAAACAAGGCATGCTAATGTAGAGGTCGATGATAATTAAAATGTTCATTAGCTTGGAGAAGGACCTCATTAGTGTTACTTGTTATGTGTAATTTATCATGGTTGTTATCCCTGGGCGTTTTCTTACTTCAGTGCATTTTCTTAAAGATTAATTTAGGAGCCAAAATGTGTACACGTACAGAGTTTGCTTCCTTGTTAAAAACTTGTCATGCCAATGCTGTATAAAATATGCATATGCAAGAATTACAGTATGTGTGCATGTGTGCATACTGTAATTGTCACAGTCAGTCTGGACTCTTTTTATATATGGGTAGCACGGTGGCACGGTGATTGGGTGGCCGAGGCATTTCTTTTCCAGCTTCCCCACACAGTCCAGAAACATGCAGTTAGTGGGGTTAGGTTAATTGGTAACTGTAAATTGCCCATAGGTGTGAATGTGAGTGTGAATGTTTGTCTGTCTGTATGTGCTAGCCCTGCGACAGACTGGAGACCTGTCCAGGGTGTACTCTGCTTCTCGCCCTGTGGTAGCTGGGATAGGCTCCAGATCCCCCTCGACCCTGACAAGGCTCCTCTGGATGGATGGATGGATGGATGGATGGATGGATGGATGGATGGATGGATGGATGGATGGATAGATAGATAGATAGATAGATAGATAGATAGATAGATAGATAGATAGATGATCATGTAATCAGTCTGTCTTTGTCATTAAAAGGATCAGAATTACATATTTTTTTTACCATTTTCTGCTTTGAAAATGAACAGATTTTCTTGAAAATAAAATAAAAAAATAACAGAATGTGCCAGCTTACACTTTTTTCTGCTTACTTTATGTCACTACATAGGATGATCAGTTTTTTCTCCACGTGTGTGTCAACTAAACATATTGACAAATAAACTGAGATTTCACACTCAGCATGTAGCCACAGTATTTCCAGGACTTCACTGCGAGTGTCACACAGATTCCACCTGTTCTGATGCACACAGAACATCTTTTTTTTTCTTTTTTTCTTTTTTTGGTATTTAACGAAAAAAATGGGGGGAAAACGGGTGGTTTTATATACAGACACAAGCAGATGCCAAAGCTTTTAACATTCATGCCGATCGATCAAACAGTGATGGAATATTTTATGAATGTATAAAATGCAAAACCATGATATGCATAAAACACATCCAACCTTCCAAATAATGTTGGCTGTTTCATATATATATGAGTATATAATGTATATTATGTAGTATATTATATGTTATATATATATATATATATATATATATATATAAATATATATAAAAATTTATTATATAATAATACACGCACATAGCATATACTTAGTGATTTCTCATATTCACTCTGGAATATGGTATGGTCGTCATGGCAACTGCCTTCCTGCTCAGGTTAATCAAATCTTGATTGCAATCCAAAACCTTCTATAGGAGGGCATTAAACATGTCTGATGAAAATCAAACTGGACTGAAGAGGAGAAAATATAAATGCACAGTATACTAAAAGAAAATAGATCGTGCAAGGTCTGAAAATATCACGATTTCATATGCAGGTAACAAATTTGTCCTGCTTTTTACATTTTCAAATGCTCGGTGGTAGTGTATGTGGGAATCCTAATAGATTCAATTTCAGTCACAGGTGGATTCCTTTCTTTGTTTTTACTTTGTGTTTTGCATTACAGACAAATTAATAATCGAAAATAGAGAAAATAATATAAAAAAACACTGTTGTCTCCCTCTGAAATAGTTTCTTCGAGGATGTAATTGTAGACATATACAGACATTTACAGTAAGGGTTACATCTCTTTCCAAAGAAAAGCAGTGTATTGAATAGAGCTGGAGGTCAGTTGTGTTTAATCATTTTTTCTCTCCTCGTTGTTTATTCTCAGATGGCGTCCTAGACCTCTCCACAAAGAAGAACCACAGTGCAGGCAGCCCCAAAGCTTTGCTCAACTTCACCCCCAAACCTGGACTCAAAGGGTAAGAAAGCAAACTAGTCTATTTAACCAAAGCAGCTCAGTTATTTGCCTGAAACAGCACTGGTGAAGGAAATAAAGCAGTGTTGTAATTTTGCATGACACTTCACAGACAAAACTTGGCAGTCTCTTTATGGCTGTCAACCATATTGATTACCAAATACTTATTAATTAATGAATATTTGATTTAACTTAAATAACCCTATTAAACTCAATTACAGCTCCATATTTTTTCTTGATCTCTGCTAAAGTGGCTTTAGGCTCCAGTCACACATGCCTAGAGACTGGTTGGCAAACATCTGACAACCTCCAGGTGCTAAGGAAAAGTGCAGATTCTGTGACCGGTTGATGATCTCCAGCGTAGAAATTAGTGCAAATACCCACAAGCTATTCAACCAGCAGTGAAACAGCATCTTTTGAAATGTATGGGTTGCAGTGATAAAGAAAAACGTTACTTTTAAAGCAAATGTTTCTGGTTTCCATCGTGATTTTTCAAGTTTCACTGCAGCTCCGAGGGTAAGTGGCGAGTGTTTCCAGACTGGTCAGTCTCTTCCATACAAACTATGAGCAATCGCAGCAAACGGGTGTCAACCAAAGTAATCACAGGGAAGTTTGTGGTGCAGCACCCTCTCTGTGGCAGATATAATGAGCTCTCATTTCACCTCATTTCATGTGAGATAAGAAATTTTAGCTCCTCTCCATGATGCCAGCTTTCTTCTGATTGGCTGCTGCTGCAAACAGAAGGTTGGAAGATCAAATGCTTGGGAACGCTGCGGTCTCAGCCAAAGCGTCTGGCTGAGATCAGAATATTAGGGAATTGACATCACACAGAGCCCAAAGACCCCAAACTGTCTGAAATTTAGAGAGACAAACTGAGCTCTTGGATCATAGAGATTATTTGTAAATAAACTGTACTGGCCTCATTATTCAACCTATAGCAATATTTAATATAGACCTTCACCACTATATAAAACACATCTAAATAAAAAGCATAATCTCTCCTCTGTTTTGTACAGTCAATATTTGCACCATCAGTATATACTGCATGCATTCACAATAGATTATTTTCGTGAAAAGGAGCTGCAGAGTAGATCTGTCAGTTTATGAACCTGTATTCACTTTGGGTTGAAAGTGGGGAGCTGTTAACAGGTAAATTATAGGTCATCAGATTTTGTTATGACTGCACTACTCTATCTTGTTATGCATACTCGATATGGCTGTCATCACTAAATAGTGCCTTTTTTAAATAAATAAAAAGTGACTGAGAAAGAGCTGTGTGATGCTCCCATACTGTTAGTTCAGCTAGGCCACAGAGTCAGGCTCAACCTTAAGCCTGGCAGATTCACTTTTCCTTGGCTGGCACTTAGCTGACACCCTTCCACTCATCAGCTGCCCACAATTGCTGCACATCTGCAAGCCACTTTTCAACCCACATCCACCCCAGGCCCTCCTCCCTTCTGTGACATAACTTGTCATTGATTCCTGGTCTGTGTCTCTGTTGGGGTCTTGCTGCTCCCCCCACCATTAAGTGTAATTCATGGAACCACGTATGTGTCAATTTTGCGTAGGTTTTTTGGCTACGCAGGATTTTTGGGTATGCAACCAACACAGACGTGCTTGCATGCGGTACTTCAAAAAAGCAACGGCGTGTAGGCTGACAGTGCTGATGCTCTGTGTAGGAAGAATGCTGACTGGTTGAAAAGTAGGTTTAAACAGGAAGGAGAAAAAGTGTGAAAAAATAATCAGAAATTTAAAGAAGCCCACAGAAGAAGCAAAGCAAATATTTTGCACAGTTTTTAACACTCAGTTTCAGTCCACTGCAAAAATCTCTTTGTCTGTTATGACTGCTGTGTTCTCCGTGGCAGGGGCTAAGCTAAAAGACTAACAGCAGTCCACAAACACTGATCTGTAGGCTACTTCGCAAGAGTAGTCCATAGTTGTTCCACATGTTTTGACACTGCCCCCAGGTGACAGTGCACAGCTACAACATGTAGATGATCAAGAAAGTGTGTTTCTTTCATCGAGAATCTAGTAAATCTTTCTCAGATGTTAAAGATTTTAAATCATGTAGACAATAAAAAGAGTTTGTGTTTATATTCGGTACTATGCTATTCGTTCATCCAGCCAAAGGATTCATAAGGGTATGTTGTGGCGAGGCATAATCTCTCTGTCTACAGTTCACAAAAATCACTCCACCTCCTGCAGTGTTGGTCAGAATTTAACCGAACTTCACCACAATGAAAGTCTAATGGGAAAAAGGTCACATTTGTTAATTTGTGGGCGAGAATTGCGATGGATCTTGAACTGGATGAATTATTACATCATTCTGATGATAAATTTATTAATTAGTCATTATTAATCTCTGACTCTCTTTTAAACTGTGTTTTTTGTCCCTTCCAACATCTCCATCTGGTCATGGCAGATGTTTGCCACTTCCAGATCCTGGTTCTGTTCAAGCTTTCTTCCTATTAAAAGGGAGTTTTTCCTTCCCACTGTCGCCATTTGATTGTTCAAAGGGGGATGTTTGATTGTTATAATTTTCCTCCGTATATAAAGCGCCTTGAGGTGACTGCAGTTGAGATTTGACGCTATATAAATAAAACTGAATTCAGTTGAATTAAAGTCAGTTAGATTCTTGATTTTACAGAAAATACACTTTCTTTGTAAAGCTGAGCACAGGACTGCAGGTCTTGAAAAGATTGTGTCCATATTCAGTTTTTCCACATTTCTCCACTTTTATTCTTCACTTATTGATTTTACTCTAATGAACTATCATTAGTTTAATGGTAAGTTTCTATAGATTTGTTTCATCAACCAATAGCAATATCAACATGACTTTGTCCTGCAGAAAAGAAGCCTTTGTCAGTGTCTTAGTGAACTTTCTTTGCATTGCATTCTGTTAACTATTGATGAACATAATTTTCCTTGAGGTTGTGTTAAGAATCATGTGTGTACATGTGTGCGTCAGGAGGAAATAAACAATTCATGCTAATTGGGGTGGTCATTTTCATGAAAACCTTTGATCTGTACTGTAGGTCAAATATGGATTGAAACAGGTTCGATTCAGAGAGCATATGCGACTGCAACTGCTGCACTGAGATGTTATGTTAAATTTGGGCATGATGTAGTGGTGTGCAGGTTTTAGTTTAGTTTACGGCTTCCTCATTTTACCCCAAATACTCTGTGATAGTCTTGGTTCCTGTCTGATCACCTGTGTTTGTTGCTAATATGAATGATATTGCGATCAAGGTTACTATAACAGAAAAATATTAGGTGAAAACTGACAGACACTCAGATGCTTTTTTTCTTACCCTAACATAGCAACAGATTTCCTGCTGACAAACAAGGCTATAGCCCAGCAGGTAAACCTTGGTGAAGTATTTGCACAACACGATTAAAACACAGTTAGAAACAGCACCTTAAGCCTATGAGGATAGGTCTTCCTTCTAAGGATTGAAATGTCTCAAAAGTCCTGAGGCACCAGGCCTATGAGCCTCACTACCAGTGGATTGCTGTTATCCTGAAATGTATCTGGACAAATCTTCTATTTGTGAATAGTGCTTCTAATTGATAATGCACTCATATGGACTTTGAAGTTTGATGACAACCAATGATTGTGGCTGATACCTGTAATATTCTTTGGCATCTGTTGGTGTTCTCCTACTCAAAAAGTGCAGTCACAGCCGTATCCTTTATTTGGGCACATCGTCCAGGTACGTTAACAACCAACCAAACATTGGGCAGCTCATTTTGGCATGTTTATTATTTTTAATTATTTCTTCATATATTTGAAACAATTTTGGAGGTCATGTTCAGGCCAGTCGGCCCTTCCTGCCCCGTGTTTATCAGAAGGCTTAGCCTGTTTCTATTGTGACAGTCTTTGATATCATTCAACTTCCCCTCTAGAGAACCTCTTGCCCTGTGGTCCAGACTTACTCCACCTTCACTGCAGCTGGCAGTAATACTTAAATAATAATGATTAGAACAAGGATTTCCATCACAGCAACTATTTACCAACCCTGGCATCTGTTAGTTAACATCTGACTACCGTGTCTCATGCAAGGAGAGACTATGGAAGGCAACTGGTTATTGCTGTAGAAATATAAATACAATTCAGATCTGTTGGTAACGGCAAAATTAAACCACCTTCATGCAGTGGGTTACATAAAAAAGCAGCAATTGAGATTTATTTAGACCAAAGAAAAAACTATAATGCCATGCATCCTTGTGCTACATTATATTAAATGCAGCTGCAGTATCTGCAAATAGCTAATTGATGCTCAGTAATAATGTGAGAAACAGCAAATGTTCTGCTTAAAAAGAAAACGTGTTGCATAAAAGATGTGAAAGATTTGTTTTATTAGGTTGTCAGTTTTAGCTTTAATTAATCACTCAATACTGTATGTATTAAAGCACCAGTTCATATAAGTGCAAGATACGGTTTGTTGCTCTTTTCTCTTTTTGTAATTACCTCAGTTGTTTCAAATCTACCCCTGTCTTAAAAATAACTTTGATCTTATATGAAGAACTGTGTTCCTGAAGTTCTTTTCTTCGTCTTCTTCTCCATCCAGACTTTCAATCAAAGCAGATCATACCCTGCCAGAGGCGGAAGAGGAGGATGGGCTGCTGCAGAAAAGTTTGCAGGACGCAATGAGGGAGAACTACGTCAACTCTAACTCCTTCAAGCCCCCACTGGCCCGCTCGCTGCGTATTAAGGAAGAGCTTCTCAGCCAGAAGCATCGCCTTCTGAGTCAACCTCCTGCTCTTTCACTGTCTAATCTAGAGTCAGCTGGCTTGCTCAGTCATAGCCAGTCCCATTCCTTGCTTGGCCAAAAGGGTTCTTCTTCATTTTGGGGAAGTAAGGCTCACCTTGAAAGCCTAATGAAGCTGAAGCAGGCCAGTGGAGCTTTGAGCGACCTCAAAGACCTGCCTACATTCCTGGAGCATCAACACCACAACCACCACGGAGCCTTCGCCTTTAAGAGTTCCCTTCATCATCACCACCACAATCAGGTTTCCAAGGCCCAACATCATCACATTGAAGGAAAGAGAGACCAAGGCCACTCTCCGCCTGTTGACCTGAAAATCCCCCAGGTCCGGGGCATGGATCTTTCCTGGGATTCCCATTCCTCTGAGCTTTATGGCTACGGTGCAATGGGGGTCGGGGGTGGTGGCCATGGGGACAACACCCTGAGCCGGAAGCTAAGAGCCATTCTGCCAAAGCAGAACCGCCGAGGAGGAAGCCTTGGGAGCCTCTTGGATGGGGCTGCTGAATATTGGAACTCAGACTTGGACCACTCAAGTTCTGGGCCGGCGTACTCCATCTCAGATGTGGAAGGGGACCCAAGCTCCAAGCAGCCAAGGAAGAAGAGAGGTCGATATCGCCAGTACAACAGTGAGATTCTGGAGGAGGCCATAGCTGTAGTGATGAGCGGGAAGATGAGCGTGTCCAAGGCACAGAACATGTATGGGATCCCACACAGCACCCTGGAGTACAAGGTCAAGGAGCGCATGGGGACCCTGAAGAACCCCCCAAAGAAGAAGCTCAAGCTGATGATGAAGATGGAAGCAGGAAGCCAGGAGTTTCCCAACGAGTCAGAGAACACGCCCACTGCAACCCCACGAGGCGACGGTGCATCGCTAGCAGCTGCCGAGCTCAAGGACAATGTAAAAGAAGAAATCGATGATGATTTCAAACCGATCGACTAAACGACTTACACATGTAAACCTCAACTGACTTAAGTAATTTGAAAATGGATGGGGCTTTATTTGTGCCAATTTACTTTGCAGTATCTGGGTGAGCACAAATGCAGGGATTATATGAGGAGGATTCTTAAACTGGAGAGACACAACTAATCGGATGGTTCTTAACTAGTGTCATTTGAGCGATGCTATAGAAGCATTTGTTCAGCTTTTCTATTCAGGGGCTTAACAAATGCAGCTAAAGACATTAGGTAAATGACAATTATTTACGCATGCTGATAATCCCCAACCCCCAAAAATTCTCTCCCGTCTTTTATGAACTTGATACACTGAAGCATTGCTGCTTATAAATGCAGTCTGCTTTGGATTAATATGATAATGATGGGGAAAAATAAGGGGAAGGTTGAAAATTAACTCCTTAGAAGAAGTGACAAATTGGTCCCTTTATTGCTCCCTCTTGCTCATCAAGTACTAGCTCAAAATTGCAACTGTAAGGTTTAATTGTACCATTGATATTCCTCAGTTAGGGTTCGGAATCAAACCCACTCTCTTATTGCCAGGTAGCCATGACGCTTTAACTGAAAATCCTTTTCTTTCCTCCTTCAAATATTCTGCTAATTTCCGTGCGGACGAAAAGCAAGAATAACCCATCCTTTTTATGAACGAGAAGACACAAAAGTCATTCAGGGATGCATGTTTGTGAGTTTCGTGGACACTACTGACTTCTGTAATCAACTTCTTTTCCTCTATCTTTTCGTTTGATTTGTTTTGCTTTCTTTTGCACTACATTTTGAGTCTGGCGCTTACAGACCAGGTTACCTCGGCATTGTTGCCCATGCATCATGCACTTATTATGGTCTGTCTCTGAAGCCCAGTCACAACTTTGCAAAGGGTCAGAGGTGCACATCGCCTGCATACGCTGATTCATATTCAGATGCAGGAGACTTCTTTAACCCTCTTTTTTGCCAAGGGACAATTTAAGGGGTGATCTGCTTATGGATCAGCGGGGGGTTTTTAAGGCGGAATGCTACCTCACGGACCTCCATCAGTCTCTCACTGCTGATCCTGGAAAGCCGGAGCCACCCGCAAACGGTGACTAAAGTGAGCTCACCCTCTCATGAAGATCGTTACTGGACAAATGCCTTTTAGGATCAGAATGTGAAACTGTGCTGCTACCCAGTTCATTATCCAGTTCCTATAGAGGCTTTAGTTAACCTAAGCTAATGGATTTTGGCTTCTTAGCTAATGACACCATATTGCTGATGTTGTTTTTTCTTTCCTTTTTCTAATCAAAACCAAGCAGAAGCAACTCACATGAGTTTTAAAAGAAATTCTTCTCCCTAAAACTTCAAAGATGGTTTTAAAGGCAGTTTACTACAACAATGTGCATTTATTGTGGGGTGTTCAGTTTGGGGTGGTGGGTGGGTAATATGCAGTGGGCAGGGGTAGTTGGTAGGTGGGGGAAAGGCAGATTTTAATATATTATAACTTATTATGACTGAATATGTAAAAGCCAATCCATGATTCTGGGTGTTTTTTCTCTCTCCTCATTTTTAACTCAGGGTAACTGAGACAGATGTGGATTACAAATATGGTAATTTCCTGTTGGACCTAATAGTAGATGAAAAGAGGACACGGCAAGCTTCTCACCAGTGCTTTGACTCTGGGAGGGCCATATGGATAATATGGCGGTGCCATAGCAGCAGATAGACCTTTAAGGAGTACTCGAAAAGAACAGAACACTGATGTTGGATTTGTGGATTTATGGCGCTGAACCTCTAAGATAGCACTTTTTAAACACAAGAAGAAAAACAAAGGAGAAAGAAAGTTTAAGGTTATGCATGCAGTGTAGCTCTTTTCTGAGGAATACAACAGAGGAGGCAATGAGGAGGTCAGAGAGATGGCATAAAAAAAGCTTTAGTGTTTCTGAAAGGTGCAGCTTGGACCCAAACCACTTATTTTCCTCTCAATTACCTCCACCATTTAAAAAGAAAAGAAAAAAAGTTTGACAGTTTGAACAAGTTCAGTTTTGTGTAGTGTTGTCTCGTTGTTTTCCCCTCCCCTTCGTCGCTAAATGTCGCTCTTCGCTCCTGACACTGCCTGGTGCTCACCCAGTCTGTGAGATTTTTGACATGAGAATTGTAACTCTCTGCTCAGATGAAATGACGATGATTCACTCCTTTTGAAATGTATTGTACATTTTATTTATTTGATTTGATTTTGTTTATTCTCTTTTAACAAATGGCATGCACCACTATTTTTGGCTGATTTTGGGTTTGGGCCAATTCAGAATATTAATCTTGAGAGTAATAATAATCCAACACAGTTAAGTATTGAATCAATCACAATCTAGTTATGATTAAAATCATTTACTACCTGTTGCAATCTTCTCCCACCCCTGGGGTTACTGGTTGTCCACTTTGTGTGACTGCCAGGCATGCAAAGCTAACTGAAGTAACTAAAAAAAACAACAACAACAACAATAAAAAGTAGTAATCCTGGGACAATATAGCCAGGAATCAATATGCATGAAATGCGTCCAACACTTTGCCAATGCTGAGCATTTGAAGTGTCTAAAAGGTTGCCGCGTGCATCAAGTTGGACCCAGCGAAGGACAATGCACTGATCTGATAGTTAAAACAGGATCAAAGCCTGAGTGGTGATAGTAAAGCACTTGTTATGAACCTGCCTTTGATAAAAGGCACCAAAGCTGTGAATGAAAGTAGGAACAAAACACATCTCACATTGTGTTCTCTCACACCAATCTCCCTGGTCATGTAATATGTTTTTTAAAAAAAAACAAAAAAACATTTATGCACTATGTAATTGGCGTCATGTGTGCATAAATTAACTCAATTGGCACTTTGACTGAAATCCCCTGAGAGAGGCGATTCCTTGAGGGCCAAACAATATCTGCTGTATAATTTATTCAAGTGACTAAATCATCTACAAAACTTTCCTCTCGACCTTTCTTGAACCTGTTATGTTACAGCTGGCTTTGGCTCTGTATTTGTCATTGCTTTCTAAAAGTACAAGTCCCATTTTCAGCCTGAACTTATCTACTGAGGTGCATGCCATTTATATATACACATATATTTATTTTGTTTCTTTTTCTCTTGGGTTTCGTTGATTGTTTATAGTCATGTGGTTAACCGCTCCCCCTGTCCGAAAATGTCCTCCTCCTTGCAACCGAGTCTCACTTATGTGTCTATCTATTTATATTCTGACAGAATAACAAACACTCAAGTTAATGAATGTAGTGACATGAATCTGTCGAACAGCAGTCTGCAGATGCTTGATTTTTTTTTAACAGACTGTTGCTTTCTCTCCTTTTGCTTTCTGCTGCTGTCATTGGAAACACAGTCGTTTTCAGTAGCCTTTAATACCGCAAATGTCTCAGGATCGAGCCAGTGGGATGGGCAGCAATATTTGTCAGTCGGAAAATGGCGCATGACTTAACTACCTGTACTGAATTAGTAGACGTGTGTACACACGCACGCGCTCACACACAACATGCTAACTTGGTCAGTAGAGACCAAGTGCTATACCTCATTCTCAGAACTCCTTTCCGTGCCTCGTACTTTCACGTATCCCTTACCTGGGAGCTTGGCAAAGGTGTAGTTGATACTCTGGGAAATACAGTATCCTCCACTGTTTCTACGCTTTTATAAGCTTTTCTTCTTTGTTTTGCCTTCACATTGCAAAAAAAGACACGTCAAGTGTCTGACTGACCAATACTTGCCACCCACCGCTTTTAAGGTATTTTTTTATTTGCGAAAAAACATTATAGCATAGGGGACTATACAGCTATCCCAGGTTTAGGTTGGTCTTATATGGGGAGAGTAAAACCCTCTTCCTACTAAAATTCTAAACATTTACAGATTCAGTCATCTGGTTTCACCCTGGAGGCAGTGAGTCAGGTTGGTTCCACCCTGGTTTGAGAAGGAATACGTTTTTTTAAATATACATATGTTTGTTTCCAAGTGTAACAGAACTCCAGGATGAAACCTGACCAGGGTACTTTTTGTCCTTTTTCTCTCTCAAACCCAGAGAAATCAGAGACCCAGCAGTGGAGATTGGGGGACAGGTGGACAAGTTAACCTTCCTTTATGAGCTGTGATTTTTTTCCTAAACATTTGACACTGTATTCCCAAACAAAACAAAAAAAACGCAGCACGCACAGGAAAATGTCCTTAATGATGTTCAAAATGAAAAAAAGCTATATCTTATGAATATGTATGTATTTATTTTTACTGTTTTTTGCATCTTCATGTGAGCTAATCAGTTTCTCTTTGTTTGTTTTTTTTAGGTCGGTTGTAATTCAATTTGGGGTTTTTTTCTTCTGAGAGAAAGACTGACAAAGATATAAAAAAGAGAAAAAAATGTCAAAAAAACAAACAAAACAACTACTGTAACCTCACTTATTAGACGACACGGGATGCGCCATTCTGTCATTGGGCGGTGCACGATGTTGTGGGATACGAGGAAGGAAAGAATTGTATACGATTGCCGTGCACCTCTCCGCAGAGAAGTTGCATCTGTTTCTTATTCTGTCACGCTGCATATCTGGTTGTCATTTATACCTCAGGTCTGACCACTTCAAAGCAGCTGATTGTATATTAGAAACACACAAACCAGAAGAATCAGGATTTTTAGTGCGGCTCGTTTCCAGATTTTTAGATGTAACTGACATAAGCAGATTTAGAAAAAAAATTTCTTGTGATTGTTTGTACTGTTGTTCTTCAAATGGCATATTTGTTTGTTAAACAAAAAAGAAAAATGAATTCTTTAAAAGCCAGAAGCCAGGTTTCCATGAATACAGTTCTGTATTCTTGCTAGCACAGAGCGCGCGCGCACGCACACAAACCAATAGAGACGTGACGCACCCACAGCAACACACATTCTCGCTCCTCATCAGGTAGCCACACTTTGTGTGGGCGGATTATATGTATAATTATGAAGCTGGAGTCTGCCGTGTCTCTTTTAGAAGCAGGTGGGTGTGTTTTGTCCACAGCCTGCAGAACATCAGCCCTGCTGGCTGATTTTGATCTGGCACACTGGGGCACTGCAGGCACTGCCTCTGTGAAAATCACTTTGTTTGTTTCTTGCCTTTCAACAAAGACTCCTTTTCCTTTTTTCTGGTAAAGGAAAAATCCTCCCTACAGTTGTTCTCTTCTAAGTGGCCAGTCTGTGGTGCTTTGTGCATTCCTGCAGTCTTTTTTAGAACATTTCCTTCAAGCTACCTAGTCTATTTTTGCTGCTGTAAGTGACAACCCTCAATTCCCAGGACTTCTTTTCACGGGGCCTGGAGGATGGGGATGAATTTATTGGGTGGTGAGGCAATAGAAATGGAACAATTTGGAGTCGAGGGCTGCATTTGGTTTTGGTTGGATGTGGGGAAATCAATAGCAGAACGTGCTGTTTATTTGATATAGAAAGAACGTAAAGCGTTGTATCTGCTTGCCAAAAAGCACAAACATGAAGGATGACTTCTCGTCAATAAATCATTCAAGTCTTATTTAGAAGGCATGTTCGAAGGAGCATTTTCTTTATCTGTTTTTAAATAAAATCCCACATTTGACCTATAGCGAGACACTTCAAATCATATAAAGGTAAAGTAAGCATTGCTCCTCGACTGTCTCTTGCAGGATTGCACGCTGGTCTCTTGAGATAATTTGAGCTTTAGGCTTGGATTTATCTACTTAAAGACAAAAATGATTCTGGAGTCTAAGAACCAGCTGCAGGAATGCACAGCATATCACCAGTAGTTAAAATGATGGATTAAGTCCCCAGTCCACAATTAATCCCATTTTTGGACACATGTCTGAGAAAAATATGCCCAGTGTGCTTTGGGATGGATTTTTCTTTTAACCACATATCCAACTGCATATCCAAGAATCATTTTGCTCTCTTGCAACAGGATCTGCTGCACTCGGAACGCAGTTTTCCAAAGTAAGAATCGGCATCAACTAACAGTTACAGTTCTCCTCGTCCATCGTAAGCTGTGCTGTTTCTTCTCGACACATTTGTACAAGCGCTGCTAAGAGGTCTGTTGAAATGTGCATTTCCTCTGACGCGGAGCGTGATGCCAAGTTTTTTAAATGTCAAAGTGTTTGTGACAAGCAGTCACTCAGGAGCAGGTTGGCTTTGAAAGCAGAGCTGAGTACAGGTCTTAAAGGCCAGACACGCCTCTGGAATGATGCTGATCTGCAGCAATCAACACAACAGACTCCTTCACTCGCTGCTGTTTAACAGCATTAAAGAAATGTGGACGTGCCAGGGTATTTTGGCACAAATCACAAACTAATAATGCCCTCCAAGGATAAAAAGTTATTTGAACATTTTTCCAGTAGGCTTTGATTATTTTTACGGGGCCGAATAAGTGATTACATAAAGTTGTTCAATCAGTGGAATCAAGAGTGCCTTTTTGAAGACTCTAATCTTGAATTTGAAGACACAATCTCAAATCTAGTGCTCAAGGGTTGGTTTCTTAATCAAGTATAATCTAACAACCTGGTTGAAATTACAAAGTAGCTTGAAGAGTGGCATTTTTCCTTCAAAGAAAACGTTGTGAGATTCAGGTCAAATTTGTAGGTTTAAAATTCACAGCCCCACCCTCCTGTTACCTTGCTTGATTAGGTTACACCGTGAGAGGCACACAGGCACACTTTTTTTATTTTCCTTACCCAGCAGACCCTCTTTGCTGGTGTGCATCTCAGCCCTCCTTACAGACAGTCAGATAGATGTAGTGGTCTGAGGAGGTGGATGGGAGTGCAACGGTGAAATCTAAGTGAAGTGGAGAAGAATAAAGGCCGCCGAAGGTCGCCTTCCCCACCCCCACGATACGGTTAAACATGAGGCTTTTATTGAGATGATGCTGAAATTCACTTCAGAACTCAACATTAGTTTACTGCTGATCTGAAGCTTTTAGGTACAATTGGGGGGGGTGAAAATGCAATTTGGGGCTTTGTGAAGGAACTCTGAGGTGCTCTTGTGTGTTGCCATGACAATCTTGCAGCATCGTTCCCGTGTGGAGGTGTGTCTGGCCCTTTACAGCCACTTACATGGACCAGCTGGTCTCTGTTCCTCTGAACTCAGAACCAACTCTGCTGACACCTGTTCACAAAGATTTAGGGTCTAATTTGGATATTTTAGTAGAACTTAAGCAGTGCGGCAGATTCATTTGCTTTTGTCTAGTGTACTTTGTGTTGAGGGAAATGCTACTGGACTAAGACACGATGCTACAGACCACAAAGATTGAAATTGTTGCTACCTCAGTCTGTCATGTCTGTAGCAATCTATTCAGATGCAGAGAAGTCTGCTGCACAAGGCTGACTTGAAAACTGAAGCGTATTTCCTCTTAGGTAGTTAAACTCATTTTTCATTCGTTCCCAGGCTGTACATCCATGTGAATCTTCATCAGCCCTTTTCAGGGACCTCTGGTGAAGTTAAATGCTGCATAGAGGATTTTATCAGGCTGTTGGTTTTTTCCTTACAGAAAATGTGTCAGATTTTGATTTTCCTATCTATAAAAAGTTTCCAGTGATGCTCTGTCATGCCGGCGCGTCTCTTTACACACTTCTCAGAAGACTAATCATCAACTTCTTGATACCGTCACTTTTTGTCCCGTGGTTATGTGTCATTCTCACAGCATCTTTGGTCGTTGGAGCGTGTTGGTCGTTGGAGCGTGAGCGCTGCAGGGCTGACAGGGCCTCATTTGTTCCCAGAGAGATGGGGCGTTCCTGGGCCACTGCAGGTCTGTCACCTTTCTTCAGGCCTTTTCATAAATGTCATTTCCTTCTTCTTCTTCTGGTGTTCTGTTTTTATTCTGGTAACTCTTCACAGAAGCTTTTCTTTTCTTGGGTTAACTGTGTACATATTTGTTTTTTAAAGACAGGGCTTGAGGCTCTTTTAGCAACAAGGAGATCACTATCCTCTGGAATACTGAGTCTTTCTAGAAGGAAAGAAAACCCACTGAAATTCTACATATGGGATTTGGTTAACATTTCAGCTGTAGTGTAAATTTTATGAACTCTCCCCAAAATATACTCCGTGTTTTAAAGGTTTGATCTCTTGTTTTGATGGTTCAGGGTAATGAGCTCGGGCTTGGCTTTTGGTTTCTATGTTTAAAAAAGAGAGAGAGAGAGGGAGCAAGAAAAACAAGAAAAAAGTGAGCAGGTATTGTGTTTTGTTGAAATCGCCCGTGTGTTTTCCGTGATCCTCTTGTAGCTTGTTTTTGCCGTCCTTCACGTTATGACGTTCGCTTAATTTGCCGTCTTTGACAGCCACGGACCTCCTCTGTTACTTTCGAGTTATGAAGTCTACACTACATGCAGATAACCACTGCATTTTTAGTCAAGCTGAAGAACAACACTGGCTCATGACATCGATTGTCAGGTCAGACAGACTGGCACTTGCTGAGTGGATATTAGAGGTCAGTCGTCAGACAGGAAGTATGGTGGGTGAGATACAAATTCCCAAACTGTAAAGAAGATTAAATGTCGCGAGACCTCACACTCATCTGGAAGCAAGAACATCACTTGAAAGGGTATTTTATTGTTTTTGATGAATTCTGTACTTTGTTTTTTAGCCAAATACTTTTCCAGTGCTTTATAAACAGCAAGGATTGTAAATCTGAATAACTCATAGCAGGGGAGGCTCATGCAGAGCTCGTTTAACAGCCCAGCTCGTTGGTTCTCTGGAGATCTAACAAGACTCAGGCTGTTGCCTTCCCAAATGTAAAAATTACAGGACGCTGCTCCATTAAAAACAAGAAGAGAAAAAAATAAAACCGAACGAGCGCTTTGAATCCACGTGCGGGAAAAATAACGCTGTGTTTGTTCTTTCAGTCTTTGATGATGCTCTTTTTTTTCATCTTGGTGTTTTTGGTGAGCAAAAATGTAAAAAAGAAAAAAACTTACAACACAGAATACCTCAGACAAGAAATCCATGTAACCTTGACGACCTCCTTATATTGTCAGACCCTGTCCATCAACACTCATCTCTGGACACTTTCATCTCCATTTTTGTCATTTTTCTTTGTTCCTCCTGCCAAATGTAGTGCGTCGTAGCCGGTAAAGGTTCCACAACTTTGCTTTGTCTATTTTTTTAAACACTAATTTAGCTTCACATTCCCACATGTTCTATTTTCTAATTTGTCGACATTCTTGGTCTTAATCCTTTCACAGCCCACACTGCATTGAGCTGTTGTTTTCAAGACGATTTTAAACACTGCTATTTCCCAGTGGTTCAGAAAGATTCACAGAAGACATTCTTTGAATCCCCGTAAAGGATGGAAGTTTAAAAAAACAGACTCTCCAGTCTTTTGTTTCTCCAAGTGGGTTTGCTGATAGAATGAAGGCCAATGCTGTATGTGAAACACTTGAAACCACACATTCCCCACCTTGTTCCCTTTGCATACCTCTTTATCAACTTTTTATTGTTGTTAAAACTGAATGTAAGAAAAAAAACGCAAACACAACAAACCTCTAATTTAACTATACATATTTAAGAATAAAAGAATACTCTATATGTGCACATAGATATACCTATACAAGCCCCACACAGACATAAACACAAATGCATATGTATATAAAAATCTCTAATGTCATATACTTTTATCTTGAAAAGGAAGAGGATGAGCCTTTTCCATTGATGATTCAGGGAAACAATACAAAAGTCCAGTGCAGTATGTTAGGTGAAATCGCTCCCACTCTGTCGCTTTTGGTGTTTGTTTTCTTACTCTGTTCTTGCTTGCTATTTTCCCATGATGTAGCATAGGGCAAAGGGGCAGGGCGGCTCGAGGTTGTTTTTGGTTTTTTTGTTAACAGACAATGTAGTGAAACTAGGATCTTGTGTAGTTGTAGTCTTTTTAGGCCTGATTCTGTGAAATGGGGGGATGGGTGGGTAAGCGGATGGGTCTCTTTTTTCTTTTTTTCCTGAAGCGGACACTGTAAAGACAGTATATGTATGAAGATGACTTAGATATGAAGTCACACTGGGTGGGTTGAAGGGCTGCAGGGAGGGTGATGGCTTATCTTCAGGATGGTCGTGTATATAGATCGGCTTTACCCATCAGTCCTCGCCTGGTTTTTCACAGGTGGGTTGGAATTGTATACTGAAGGCACTGAGAATGAACGCTTTTGCGTGTTTTTATGTCTAGAAAAGAAAAGACTGTTTTAAATGAAGGAAGTGGAGGGGTGATGAACCCTGTTCAGGATCTCCACAGAAGCCAACAGACAGCGAAGTTGTTAGAAAAAGCGGCTCCCTCGAAACACCGCTTTGCTGGGAGTGACGGATGATTTCGTGAACGTTGACGCTCTTGATATTTTTGCATGCTGGTGTACATACCCCTCAGTCCTTTTGTTTGAAGAGGCTGGTTAATCCAAAAGCTCTCCTTTTCTTTTGGATGTTGTCCGCAGGACAGATTCGGATGTTTTGAATATAAAATATAGCCCCCCGAGGAAAAAAAAAAATCGCCTTTCATAAGAAGGTGCACCTAAGGTGTTTGTTTGTCACTGCAACAGCTTTCGTAGTAGTTTTTGGCTAAAGCTCTTTGCAATCATTCTGTTTTCCTTGTGTAAAGTAATTTTTTTCAAGTGTATGAGTGTGAATGTGTGTGCCTATGTAAGAAACGATGTGCAAAGCTTGCTTCTTTCGATTTCTTTTTCCCCCCTCAGTTCAACCATGTTTTCGCCTCAGAGATGTTTTTAAGGAACATTGATCTTTTTGTGCTCTTATGGAAACTCAATGAAACAGTGTGCAAGTTTGAAGAACTCTGTCTGTAAAAGATGCTTCTCTCTGGGCACCTTACAGACCTAAATTGCATTACCCAGACACCCTCAGGGACCCTTGACAACACTGCTCTCACTCTTATTCAGGTACTTAATCTATACCGAGGCCTAGCAGTGATCAACTTTAACTATAGTTTATTTCATTAGCCTGTTCCTATGAAAACGAATTACAGCCAAAATTTGATCCGAAACAGTCTGTCTTGCCCTCTACTCATGGAATTACATCTCGTTTTCTAGCCTTACATGTCTCTTTTTGTAACCTCTGGATAGGTTTAGTATGTTCTGAATGTTAGCTGTCTTCTCAGTTCATAACTACTGAGTCTTTGTAAGCACCCTGTTCTCTCTCTGACTTGCGTTAAGTGCCATGGCTTTTGCTCTGTGCAGTAATCAGGAATCGATTATTGTGTTGCTACGAAGCACCAACCTAACAGTGACTTACACCAAGCTAACCTCTTAAAATAAACACGTCAGACAAGTGCACACAACAGTGGTTTGGCTTTAAAATTGTCTTTAAAGCCGTCCACGGTCCTTTACAAATGCTGGTTTAAAAACCAGAGAAGATACAGTAAGCCATCTTCAGGTATCCCTCTGGTTTAAGTGCTAACTTTGTTTTTTTTCTCCACCACCTGTGGAGCCACACACAACAGAGAAATGTGATGGATCTGCCTTCAGTTCTTCTAAAGCTTCAGGGAAAACCTAGTAACCCTCTCTACAAAGCTAAGCTGACTCTTATGTCACCAAACCTGCGGCTGTGTTCAGGAACGAGGCGAGTCTAACTTGGGTACAAATATCTGCTGGGCAGTTTTCAGTGATGTTGTGCACATTTGTTCTGTGATTTTGTTTTTTAATTTCTGGGTTTTTTTTAAGACAGCCACTCATCTCTGCTGTGATTGGTTGATGCCTCTGCTGGATGTTAAGTGTTTGTGTTGCTTCGCACAGCTTGGCAGATTCCAATGTCTGTTTTATGCTAAGAACTAGTCATGCAAAGCAGTTATTTATTGGCCTGGTCTTGATGACAGGAGTGTAGTATACATATTGCCTAAATTTTGTACCTCTTACAACAATCACATCACTGATGTTTGGTGAGAACTATGTAAAGCTGTATTTCATGTTAGAGCTCTTGCAATTACTTTCTACATTCCTAATGTTGGTTTTGGTAGTAACCTGATTTTGTTGTGATAGAAATAAATCTGATTGGTTTGGAAAAAGGCTTGTAATATTTGGTAGATGCAAGAAGTGTTGTCCAGGGGTTTAGACTTTAGTTTGGAGAGAACAACAAACCTCTTTTCTTGTTCTTGGTTTTTGTCCTGCTGAGGTTTCTAAGATTTCGTAATCTCACCTCGCTTCTTAACGGGTGGCTGGACGCCCCGAGACGGGGTCTGCTGGGCTTCTTTTTTTGTTTTCCTCTTTTCCACTGAGATTTTGTTTTTTGGTTTGACGATATACCTCATTCCTTCAGTCCAGCGGGCCCTCGGGGGGGGCGCTGTGCCGATGCTCAGGACGCTCAAGCCCCCTTTCACGGTTTGGTCCCACCTGGACTGTACCTCTCATAAACACACATACACACATGCATGCACACTTACATACAGGTTCTCCAAATACCCCGATGGACCTCATTTTTCAATATCTACTGTTTACAGTTTGACTAAGAAACTAATTTAAAATATTTTCTCATATTGTAGTTTAATTTATGTACAATGTACAATTTGTTTTTCATTTGTTTTCATTCTATTTTGTACGTTGTGAGTTGGACTTTTATTCTTCTAGATTTCTGTTATTAATGTCCATGTAAATGAGCACTTAACAAGGATCACAATAATCGGTTTTAGTTTGACTGACAATTTTATTTCCCCCCTTTCTTCCTGTTTTGAATTCAAAATCTGATTTTTTGTTTGGGCTAATGAATAAAAATCATCTCATAATGTCTGTGATTTTTTTTATATAAAAAGATTAAAGATGATGATTTGAGTTCCTTTGTTTTTTTTGTTTGTTTTTTTTTTTTACTTTATTTTGCATTGAATATCAGGCGACGCTGATTATATCTGTCTTTGTGCATGTGTAAAATATTTTACTGGTTATGTTATATTCAATTTGGTAAAAAAGGAAGAAAAAAAAAGAAAAAAGAAAATTGCCATTTTTGCCACACATTTCAGCTGTAATGTTGTGTAAGGTAGTATTCACTGGATGCTAGAACCTTCTTTTCAAAACCACTATTCTTCTAATAAATTTTGTTGTGAAAATACCTCGAGTCTTGTCTGAGTTTGTGTTTTGTTTCATAGGAACACCATAACCTGCCCGTATGCAATGTACTGATTCGATGCAACAAGTACCAAGGCTGAGATTTGATCGATGGACTGT